CTAGTCCTGTCTTCACAGATTCCTCCTTTATCCTCTCATTTATTCATTGTGGTTCAGGGTTGAGGGCAGGGTAGAGATTGATCATCCCAGTATACTGTTAACTTCTAAATTGAAAAAACTTGGGGTAGTGCTAAATGAATAATCGGGGGGGGGGGGGATTTTTTTGGCGTTAACAGTTGTGCAGAAGATTTCTTAGTTTCTCAAACAGCCCTGGGACAACCAAGTGTCATTTTGGAGCTGAACAAATTAAGTTTTCTTGATTTCTTTCTTTAAGGAACAGAAATCCTGTCATAGAAAATACATGTTTAGGTGTGATTTAATAGGCAGGCACACTTTCATTTTTCCATTTTGAACTTATTTACATGTCACATTATTTACTATATTTTTAGTCTGCCTTTCTGAATGCAGATGCAGTGCAAAAATGGCATTACATCAGCAGATCAAAAAGGAAAAAGATGCCAAGTGATAGCTCTATTGTCATATAAAGCCTCTACACGTTTTGCTGTACAAGCTTCATCAGGGGGATCAGAGAATTCACCTAGTGCTGAACTTTTCCACAGCAATGTTGTGGAAAGGTTCAGCACTTAGATGAATTCTCTGATCCCCCGCAAAACTTGTACGGCAAAATGCGTAGGGGCTTTGTATGACAATAAAGCTGTCACCTGGCATCTTTTTTTTCTTTTTCATTTGTGGGCACGTAGCTTGGTGTAGCCTAATTTTTTTTCTGTTTTGGATTATATCAGTATAAAATACTGTAGTGACAGTAGGAAAATATGTACAGCAAGCTACTACAGTACTGTTCACCCACATAAAACTCATCTTGAAAAAGATACTGCAAACCACTTGGGCAGATCAGCAGGTGAATGCTCAAGGAGGCAATATATAGAAAGTTATACACATTACAAAGTTATGGTGCCAATGCTACATTTTGAGTTTGTATACAGAGGCCAATTACTGGTTTGTAATACATTTTATTTTCCCCAAATACGCTGCTTGTTCTTGTTCTTTGTGCAGTCTCATATGTGGTTCTGCACCGACTCAGGGCAGTTTCAGAGCATTCTGAAATTTTAGCCAAAAAAAGCACTCAAACCCACTTCCCTGAAACAAGGTGTGAGTGTTTTTCCTGCTCAGTTCTTTTTCTGATTGCCACATAGCAGTTACTCTAATAACATTCTCAGCATCTGTAGTCATCTTGGTGATTGTCCTCTTTCTGTTATGTAATTTAGGTGGACTTCCTCTTCATTTTGTATTCTACAGGGATCTCTCCCTTTTCTTGTCAGTGTATCTATGACATATCATCCCACCTTCAAAACTGCTGCACTTGTCATAGCAAGATTTTAGCTTCCAGTGGCCACTGTCTTTTAAACAAGGAAGACAGAAGAACAAAAAAACTGTCTTGACCATATTGCCATAAATTCCCAAAGCAGGCTCAAAGAAAGCATTCTGCTTGTGTTTCTGGTTTGGAAGCAATAAAGGACTCCTGGAACAAGCTATTTTATCTGGCTTCCAGTTTTTTTTAAAAATAGATTGCAATAGGAAGATGGCCACTCCCTTGTTACTCACTGAACTTTCAGTTCAGTCATTGTGGAGGAATCTCTGGATAAAGACAGTTTCCTAATTATTTTCATAAAGAAAAAGAAAATTGGAAGTGACCTCCTGTATAGAGACCTGCCACAGAACGGAACTTGTGCTACATACTTCCAGCTACCCAGTATTTATGATCTTTATGTGACTTTGTAACCTGCTCTGAGCCTGCTCATGGGGAGGGCGGGATAGGAATCGAATAACTAATAACCAATAATATCCGTGTCTAAGTTCTGGTGTTACCTTTGTGTAATCCTATAAGTGTTTGTAAGTGAAGCAAATGGTTTCCTAGTCGTCATACAGAGGCCTTTCAGTTCTTAAAACAGGAAATTAATGCAATGTGCCATAACAGATTTTGGAACAGAGGTATCACCTCTGTTGGGCTGGCAGTTTGTCAACATGCTTGACTTAGATCCACAGCCCGTTCTTCTGATGCTAGCACTGACACGTGAAAGACTTGCTTTTTGCGGACAACTGCCACTTCAGTTCCACTAGAGATGCTTTTACTCCTGAAGAAGAGGGAAGCACAACACACCCCAGTGTCACAGTTTGTGTTTTAAGCCTAGCACATTATACTCCCAAAATAAGACAGAAACCTCTGATCTATCCCAGATCTTTGAGGCTTGAACACCTCTGTTCCTCACAAGAAATTTCAGATGGCAACTTACCCAAGCATCCTTTCTCTGCTGGAAAACCGCACTTGGTTTGCTTCCATCAAGCTGAAGTGTACTTTTCACCTCACCACAGGAAGTTGCCATCAGCCCAGTTCAATTCACTTGTTCTTGGCAATGGCTCCTTGTGTTGTCACCAAATGTATGGTGGCTGTCACAACCTTCTTGAGACCAGGAAATACTTATCTTTTTGTCCAGAGATTATTTTCAACATCATTCTGCTTTGGTTAGATTTGTGTGCCAATGAGAAGAAATCTCAGCTCCTCACAGCCTGTAGACTCTAATTAATTGATACAGTCCTTGAGCCCAAGTTGAAGTGTGCTTTCTTAACTCTAGTCAAATCCTAGGCCAACCTATGTATTTGGGGCATATTTCTGCAACCTTCCTTTTATCTCTAGAGCAGGGGTGCCGAACTCATTTGTTATGAGGGCCGGATCTGACATAAATGAGACCTTGTTGGGCCAGGCCTTGTGTGTCATAAAATGTAATGCCAGGTACCGGAGATATAAACTTTATAAAGGATACAAACACACAGGTGTTTTTTTTACTGAAAATAAAAACATGCTTAAAACTTTAGCACTCTTGCAATATTTTGTTTATTTAACAGTGTCTGATAACTGACACCTTTTGCTCTGAATTGTTGCATCAAAATGTCTGTGCTGTTGCAATCTTGAGTATGCTGTTCAGGTGTGTATCTGTAAGCTGCAAACCTATGATGATGCAGCAGCAGCAGAACTGGAAGAAGGCCTGACAGAAGCCCTCTGGGGGCCTGATCCAGCCCCCAGGCCACATGTTTGACACCCCTGCTCTAGAGTGTTCTTGGCTTCATGCCAGCCATACCATTGATCATTATATCTTTGTGTTTATAGATTTAGGTATTGTTTCTCTCTGCTTTCATCCCCCTTTGGGGGCAACAGTCTGTTCACCTGGCCATAATTACAAAGGTCTTCCAGTTCGCTGCAGAGTAACAGCCAAATTCTGTTACATGCCTGGAAAAGACCACTTCTTCCATGTTTCCATCATTGCCTTAACTCCAGGAAAGCCTTCTACATGGAAATCAAATGGGACAAAATGAAAACATTTCTCTCTTTTGCAAACAAACCATGCTGGTGGTTATGGTCTCTTCTGTCTATACTCCATTTTAATTTACCCTGGTTTCCAGTCAGGTTTGGCTTCTTCCAGTAATTTGTCAATCATTTCTGCTTACCGTGTTCATGATCACATTTTGCTGGCCTACCTGATACTTAGCTAAATGTTTTATTTTATGGATTTTGCTCAATCCATCCAAGTGTTCATTCTGTGGGGCCCTCCTGGAGCTTGTTCTTAACAATTTCGAAGTTGCCATAGGGTGAATTGTTCGAACCTGCCACTCCTTGGGTTTGGGGCTTTGCTATAATCTGCATTTTGGGTGGCCATTACGTCTGGTCACCATGTGGGGGAGCTTCATGCCTTGAGACAGGACCATGCTCTAGGTTTTGTCCTGATGAAGTGGTATTTTGGTCTGATCTCGCTTTTCAACCCAAGGTAGTATGACATTTCACCTAGTACATGACCAATCATTGATGCTCCTTAAGAATTCCACTATCAGATATTTACATGTCAGAACTAGGATTAATAATACATTTAAGCCAAGCTGTCAGTTGATTTGTGTTTTTCTCATGTAATGCTAACTTCTCATGTAGTTTGCTAATCACCTATCTGTGGGAATCAACTTAGATCACAAAGAATACTGGTTGTTAACTTGTAATTAGTACTCCTCCAATTGGTACTTTTAGCAGTGTTCTGTGCAGTCACCTGCACAACCTGCCCTTCTTCCCTATTGTTGGCAATTTCTTGTTTTGGGGAAGCTGCAAGCAGTAGATTGAAGGAGGCGAATGGGAAGGCAATTGCTTCTCCCTTGGCTGTTTCTGTGCAGTCATGGAACAGATATGTGTAACTGCATGGATGAACAATCCGAGAACGTAGGTTTTTCCTGTAACGTGTCTGTATATCGCTCCCTCTTTATTTCCAAACTCCCATTTCACTCCGATTCATTTGGATTTATAATATGATATCAAAATTCTTGTTTGTACACTGTATTGTAAGATAATATTGAATTAACTAAGCTGTCAGGCTACCTGCTGCATTTCTGTTGGCATAAGCACTCACATGGTTCAGATTTAATGACAAGCCATGGAGTGGATGGGATTCCTTTCTGCATGAGAGCCTCCTCATTTTGAGGGGGGGTGTAGGAGCCAAACCCATGGTTTGCAGGCAGACTAGTTTCATGTTTGTTGCCTGCTTTTTATCATAACCCCTCAAAGTTGTTCTAGAAAAGACAGGGTGCCATCCTAAACTATGGTTTTATGGTTTGGACCAGATGCCAAACCCTGGCTTGTCCTATCCACTAATCATAAACTGGGAAATTGGCAATGTCTATAAGTTAAATAATGTACACTTTTTCTTTTCCATCTTTCAACGCATGTTAGAATATGCTCCCCCCCATCTTGCAACACATGTTAGATGACGCTGGGACGCTGGGGAGCACAATAGTACAGGCAGAAGGACAGTTCTCCTTGCCTGCATGCATCAAAATGGTCACAGATTTTGTTGTGTGTAGTTGCAACATCAGCTTCTGCTTTAGGGTTTGTGGCCAGGGAAAACTGGGTGACTAAAACAAAAGTTTGGGGGCAGCACGCTTCTCATCCAACAACCTGTTCAGTTCGTCTGGGCCAGAGATTGTTCAGTGAGAAACTGCAGGCAATTTCTTTTCCTGTTATTTCTCCTTGTTTAGGGCTGCTTAATACTGAGCGATGAGTTGAACCATGCATCTCTTGTACTAGGAGCAAGGCTTTCAGGAGCAACTATCAGAGTCTTCAAACACAATAGTAAGTATTGCCCAGCAGGCTAACTTTTCACAGTGTGCGTATTGGACTCTTAATAATCCAGCTTGTTTGCACAGGGCCAGATTAAGGCGCTAGGTGCTTTCAGTCTCTTTGCGGTAATAAAGTTCTTTGGAATTGTTTTCTCTTGGTGTTTAGATATGCAGAGCCTGGAGAAACTGCTCAAAGATGCCATTGTATATGGACAACCTCGCACACACAGGCCCTGGAAAAAAATTCTCATTGTTGTTGAAGCTATATACAGGTACAATCTATTTCCTACATTTAGGGTTTTTCATTGTTTGTGTCCATTTTGAAGCAGACTACCAAAAAGTAAATGCACACGGGTTCTGATTTCCTGAACTCCTTGATCTTCACCATTTTTCATTATTTTGGTTTTATTTAGCACAAAGGAGTGTGCACACCACAGCAGGTTGTGCCAAAACTGATCTGTCTAGTACATTTTTGGCCTTGCCCTTCTTTCAACCAAAATTAGAAATCTGAATCCTCGCCAGTTGCCTTTGTTCATGCTGGTCTTTTTCCATCTGCATTGCAGTGGGAGAACACCTGGTGTATGAACCATGTCCCACTCACACTTGATGTTGATCTGGCCAGAGTTCTGTTCCCTCACTCCGGATCAGTCAGGGGTGAAGGGGTATAGTGACACTATAGCCTCCCCCCCCCTTCAGTGGTATCCCTTTCCTGCTTCCATCATTCCTAGCACCCAGTTCCTGCTTGGAATATCTCCAGACTGCTCTGAGCCATGTCAGTGCTGATGGATGGGCATGTTCACACAGACTTTCTTTAAAAGTTACATGACGCCTTTCTGCAGCCAGGGCACTCAGAAGCCATAAAGCAATATATGAACCATGTGAGCAATCAAAGTTCACTCAAATTACAGTATTTGGAGCACTGTTTTAAAAAAAGTTTCTTAAGGTCAGATAAATAGGACAAGAATTACCTACTGCCGTCTTTGAGGCACCAGGCAAATATCCCTCAGAAGAGAGTTCCTGAAATAATGCACAACCACTCAATTTACAGTTGACCCATTAGGGCCTCTAGCAACTATCTCCATTGACAGATTAATTAATTAATGTTGAGGTGGGGTCTACGTAGCAACGATGGCGGATGCCTTTCCCGAGGTTCGGGGAGGGTGCTCCGCACAGCAGTGGAGGGAAGGGGTGCCGCTGGATCGGCGCCTCCATGAGCCCCATGGAAAAACCTCTGAAGGCTAAACTCACACAAGTTTAGCTGTACTCACACAGGTAGCTGTACGAAGAAAATTGTTTGAAGAAGTCCCTGGAGGGGTCTACTCTATAGCACACAAAAAGGAAGACAGCAGACTTCCGGTTTTCGGCGCTTCAAGCGCAGGAGATCTGGCGAAGGAGCGATTACGAGCGTGGTCAAGAAACAACTGTGAGTTAAAATGAGCGAACCATAAACAGAAGCGTAAATCCGAAACCTTTTGAGCGATTGGAATTCTGCTGAGAGAGGGACGCCTCTCGGACGCATTTGCATAAGCAGAGGAGGGAGAGAGAGAAAGAGACAATTGTAAACGGACATTTTGAAGCGAAAATCCGCCCCCCCCAACCTCTTGAGTGACTGGAATCGTGCCGAGAGAGGGAGACCTCTCTTGACGCATTTAGATAAGCAGAGGAGGGAGAGAGAGAAAGAGACAATTGGAAGCGAATAGCTGTGGGAGATATCCATGAGTATTTAAACGACTAAACAGCGTGTAAGCGATTTTCAGAGCCGGGGAGAAAACGATTTTATATTGGAATTAAAGTGTAAAAATGGCGGACACTCCAAAAAAGTCAGTGAAAACAAGTCTGAGAAGAAGGGAAGTGAAAGTTATAGAACTCATAGCAGCAGCCACCAAGCTGATTCTTGAAGGAGGGAAAGCATGAGAGAAACAGAAATTTACAAGGACTTAACTCCTTCCCGGGAGATGTTTTTAGAAAGTGTCGTCTTAAATTCGGCTGATAGAAAAGAGTTTGAACCTGACCTCAAGATCAAGAAGCCTGGGAGATGCCACTGGGCCCCGAGGATGAGACCAAGAAGGAAGAGGCTTAAGATTGGCAGTGTTATCCCTTTGGAAACGGAGGAGGGTTGCAGAATTTCGAGTGAGCATCTAAGAAGCCATCAAGACTTTAGAGAGAATTAACATAGATGTAAAGGCGGAAGGACTCTGAAAATTGCCCTTACGAAGAGAGCTGGAGGAGAGGCTCTGGAAATCTTCTCATAACAAGTAATAAACTAACACATAAGCTTAGAAAGACAGGATCTCACAAAGTATATTGATTATTAACAGGTTTTTTTTCATTACTAACTGCAGTCTAACAGGGTAATGATCTCCTACTCTTGGGTTTCTAGTTTAGTGTGGGTTACTTTTCTTTCTCCTTAGTTGTAGCTGCCCTTCCCTTCTTTTCCTTGTAGTTTATGTAGTATTATAAAAAATAAAAAAATCCCCTTCGGGGGTCTTTTAAAAAATTAATTAATGTCCTACCCTCCCTGCCAAGGCAGGCTCAGGGCGGCTAACAGTTAAAACAGGAGTTGAATAAAATCAAGACAATACAGTTATGAATAGAAATATAAAATAGACAAATATATAGTGCTAGTTTGTATCAGATGGCGGGCATAGCAGCATTCTCTGGTTATGTGTAGTGAGGGGCAGTCTTTCCCATACTCTTGTTCAAGACCATTCACCAGCACTTTCAGTTGTGCCTGGAAACATCAATAAAGCTAATAAAGTTCTTTGTACTTTGGAGAACTGTGGCAGAAGAACAATTCTCCTTGCCTGTATAAATAAAAATGGCCACTGCTTTAACTCCCTGTTTGCAGTCTGGCTAGCAGCGCATTATGGCCTAGATGTTAACCAGTTTGCAAAAACTTGTGGCAAGATCATCCTTTTTCTTGGAGGGGTCGTAGCTGGCATAACCACTGAAACTGATAAAAGGTGGTGTGACCTACATGCACCACTCATGTATCCATAATCATTGAAAGATATGACAGTATCCCCCAGAATGCAGTCCTGATTTTTGAGGGTTTTGTGCAATTCTATCCAGCATCACCTGAACATTGCCTTCAAGAGTAATTTACCTCAGTGGTACCCTCATCTTGCATAGATTCTTCAGTTTTAGCTCCCATACATCTCATAACTGACCTTAGGCTCCTACTCAGAACATTCCATGTGAAGGAGTGATTTGGCTCTCATCTGCATATTCATGGATAGCAGTTATTTGAAATGGAAACATAATTAAATGAGCTGCTTCAGGCATTTGGAAAAGTGGCATATAATTACAAGAAAGAAAGAAAGTAAAAGGCCTTACTCCAGTATTGGCATTGTCTCTCACAAAGATGTTAAATGCCATTGGGTGTAAAATGGAGTGCTGTGGGAATCTATAACATGGAGATTAGGCTCATTGAACTCTTGTCTCATAAAAGCTACATATTTGTTGACCTGACCCGGATAGCCCAGGCAAGCCCAATCTCACCAGATCTCTGAAGCTAAGTAGGGCTGACCCTGGCAAGTGTTTTGGAAGGGAGACCTCCAAGGAATACCAGGGCTGGGATGCAGAGGCGAGCAATAGTAAGCCACCTTTCTGAAACGTCCAAACCCTTCTAGGGGTTTCCAGAAGTCAGCCATGACTTCCAGGTACATACATGTGTGCGCACACGCACACACACAAAATACTCCCCCCCCCCAAAAAAAAAAGCACTACATATTTGTTTACTGTTCGTCTCATGTTGGAGCTTAGTTATGAAAATGCAACTAGACATAAACATGCCTTTCCATTGTTCCCTGTACTGAGATTGGAAGAAGCTGTAATATGTGCACCTTGTTACTGTTTCAGAGAATGTGGGATTCACTGGGTGGAATGGATATCTCCCCCCCCCCCCCACCCCCAGTCTACAAGTGGAATGCAAAACACCAGTACTGCAACTCTGTTGATCAGAGGTGATTGTGTTTACTTCTGGGTGGACCACAGCTATCCATGCATTCATTAAATCCCAAATAGATCTACAATGCTCTGTGTGTCAGGTTGCCTTCAGAGATGGTTCTGAAAACTGCAGTTTGGTGTAGGATGTAGCAGCCAGAGTGGCAGATGCCAACTATTGAGGTCTTATATTGCAAGTATTAGAGCGAGTCCACTGGATTCCTTTTTGCTTCCAGGGCCAGTTCAAAATGCTGATTATTACATTAAAAACTCTAAATGGTTTTGGAACTGGTCTTTTGAGATAGTTGCATATGAGGCCCAGACTTTTTTCATAGGTGAGGCAAGTAGCAGCTAGGTGCAGGGTATTTTCAGTCATGGCACTCCACTTTTGGAATGCTCCTCCCTTTGAATAGCTTGATGCCAGGTCTTAGTCTTCTAGCTGAGTGTTTTTGTTTTTAAGTTTGCCATTTGAATAATTCTGCTGGAGCACTGGTTTTTATTTTTCTTGTTGTATTTCATTTGATTTCCTGTTCATTTAGTTATCTTATATTTTTGTGATTTTACTTGTTTATGATATGGGGACCAATTTCTTTAGTTGATTTTTTAGGATACAAATATTTAAAATAATAAAATACTTTCCCCAAGGGGACTCTTTGCTGTCTGGAAGGTTGCTGTGAAAGGGCATGCAGGTAGACATGCTTGGGACACTGGATACAATTAATGACCCCTTGCAGTTCAATACTATGCAGGATTACTCCTGTGTAAACTAATTGTTTTCAGTAGGTTTAGACTGGAGTACTTCTGTATGGGATTACACTGCTGGTGTCTTAAACATCATTATATGACTTGATTTCAGAAGCTGCTTCCAAAACCTGTCTATGAAACTTGCCAAGTATTTCAGCAGACTCCATAATATTCTGATTTCGATGGACTTTGGATTCTTATCAGAAGTGCAGTTGAAACAGTGATTTTCATCTATGCATCAGCAAGAGACCTTGCCATAAATCCTGCAAATATTTGTGTTATCAGCACAATCAGTGCACACTCTTGAATGTATAATCCTGCGAATGCTCTTACCATAACCGCCCCATTTACATGGTATAAAAGATATGTGCCATATACAGGGCTGGCAAACTGCTCATCTGCATTTATTGGACAGTAGCTGTTCACTGAAATTTGGCCTCTTCCTTTTCTTTAGCCTTCACTGGGTTCTGTTTGCCTTGCTGCCATATGCACAAATTCTTCTTACAGTTTTTTGCTTTGAGATGTAAATGTGAGGGACTGCAAGAGTGTGTCTACAGCCATATCTGTGTAATTAAAGTGATTAAGATATCTCTTTAAAGGGGATTTTGTGGTACTGAGAGATTACAAAGTTCATAACATGATCTCTGCTTTTCTACAACAGCATGGAGGGATCCATAGTCCGTCTACCGGAAGTAATTGCACTTAAGAAAAAGTACAAGTCATACCTGTATCTTGATGAAGCTCATAGTATAGGAGCAGTGGGTCCCTCTGGCCGGGGTGTGGTGGAGTATTTTGGACTTAACCCGCAGGATGTGGACATTATGATGGGGACATTCACCAAGAGCTTTGGAGGTGCTGGAGGATACATTGGAGGCAAGAAGGTAAAAATATAGGACTTTTAGCATCTGACTGGGATGCCGGTGAATAATTGCCTTTGCAACGACTATGATCTTAGGATAGGATGCCGCAACTTAAAAACGAAGAACTTTGTACCAAAATAAGTAAATAAATCTGTTGGGAAGTTCAGATGGCTGTACCATAAAAACCTTTTGCGTGGCACCTGTGTTAAAAATAAGATCAGAGAAATGCTCCTTCCTTATCGCTGAGGGTTTGAAATGACCAAGCTGAGTTGTTGAGTGACAACGGTCTCTAGAACGTCTTGAGTCTAGAAGGTCTTAAGGCTCAACAAAAACAGTGTTCTTATCTGACACACAAACAACTGCTTTTGCTTTGGCTGATCAATACAATCAAATGTTGTGTCATACTGTTCAGCAAGAAACAATCTTTTCATGTATTGCTGTATGGAATAACTACCCTACTAGACTTCCCCCTTCCCTGCTGTTGTCACTGTGGAAAGACGACTTCCTTGTTCTTTTATATCCATGTCATAATAATGCTGCTGCTTCCTGGTGGCTTCATTTATCCGAAACAAAACTTTTTTGGTTATGAAATCTTATTCTGAAAGTAGAATGATAAGGAGACACATGGATTCGATTGTCTTCACCTCCACCAGAAAGAGGGAAGAAAAGCAGAACTAAACTGTCTTTCCTTCAGCAATCTTTCTGTCTGTGAAATAATTGGATGGCAAGGTAATGCTGTAGTTTCTGCAGCAGTGTTCTTATGCCCACTGCCTGTGCTTCCATGCTGGCGCTGTATTCTCCTGGATGCCTCCTGTTTTCACTCCCTGCTGCAGGCAGAACATACGGTACTTGGGCGGTGTTCCAGATCGGTGGGGGGGTTTTGCAGTGGGAATGCTGTGTGCTTTTAGCATGCAGTATCTGTATGATGATTTCCAAATTCTTATATCTCTCATCTTCCAGGATGTTTGTGTTCATATTTCATGTGAAACCATAGCTAAGACAGAGTCTAAAACTAGCTTCAAATGATGGTTTTGGATTCTAGTTTGATAGATCCTAACTAAATATATTTAGTGGAGTGGCGTACATTCAGGTAATGTAAGGGGGTCCAACCATCCTCCAAATAGTCTTAACTTAAATGGCTTTTCCTTCAACAGAAGGCTTCAACCTTGAGTCCAAAGGAAAGGTGGGGTATAAGTATTTAAATAAACCACTTAGTGGAGTAGTAGGATAGGGGTGGGATCCACCCTACTAACCATAGTTTCATGATTCATTTATTTAGAAAATTTATTGGCCAATTCTCCAGAGACTTGCTTCAGGTGGTTTAAAATTAAAACAATCCAATGAAGCCATTAAAAAGGAAACCAAGACATTAAAAACATCATGAAACACTTGGTGCGTACCAAGCAGCCTAAAATGATATAGATATAACACCATTTTTACAGTGTGGGTTTTTTTGCCTGAAAACTGCTACTCATTTTAAGAAGAGTTGGACTCTGGACTCTGGACTCTGCCTCCCTTACTTCTGAAGCCCTTGCTGTCTTTGACACTGCCTGCAGAAGGGAAGGGGGGATCTTAAGCCAAATTTTTTTGTTCTCTTGGTCCAAAGCATTAATGGAGAATGTAGGATGATATAATGGCAGTGTCCTAGTGATGCTCTGTCTTGGTGCTTGGGAGGGGGGGTCAACAGTGGGAGGGCTTCTAATGTCCTGGCCCCACTTGTGGACTTCTTGATGGCACCTGGTTTTTCTGGCCACTGTGTGATACAGAGTGTTGGACTGGATGGGCCTTTGGCCTGATCCAACATGTTCTTATGGCAATTGGTCACTTTTACTGCAACTGTAAAGTTGCATGGTAAATTGAGTAAAAGATTAGCTGTCTTGTCATTTGGCAATAGAACTTGTTTTGATTGGAGGTGTGCTCCAGCTCATGGCCTCATTTTATAAGTCCTTGAACAGTTTCATTATACTGTGCTGAACTGCAGCTCATGTTTTGTTTGAAAATCAAAAGCAACTGTTTCTGCAGCCTGGTGCTGGAACCATAGAGGAGTATTAAGAGTCTTTTATCCTTTGTTGGTATTAAATTGCTGTCTTCTCACTATCATGACATAAGAACGATAGGACACTTTTGATACAGAAGTGCTATGGAAAGCGTCCTGTATTTATATAATGTTTTAAATGACTTACTGAGATATTTAGCTGGTTCTCACAAACGATTGCTATTGGAATAATCTGTTGACTGACTGATATGGTGCATTTGCAGTGAGCTCATGTAAGTGAATAGTAGTTTCTTTCCCTCTACTATCCTTTAAGAGTCGCGGGGAAATTGTATTAACCTTCTTCAATTGCCCCTGTTATGGCTGCAATATTTGAGTACCTTCTGTGTTCACTTTGCCAGGAGCTGATAGATTACCTTCGTGTCCACTCTCATAGTGCAGTTTATGCCACATCCCTATCTCCTCCGGTAGTGGAGCAAAGCATCACAGCAATGAAGAGTGTTATGGGTGAAGATGGCACAACAATTGGTGAGTCTCATGCATTATAATACATAAGTTTATTCTGGGAAGGAGAGTCCGCCTTATGAGGAAAACATTGTGGTCTTGACACAAGTAATCATTTTCTACCTGGCCCTTAAGCATTGATGGGATTATCTGCTTTTTGATACTTGCAGCTTAATAATTACACAGGTCATGCTGAGTGTTGCTGGATTTTATGTCACTGTTCTTTTCTCCTTATGCATCTCTTTTCTTTCACCACTGCTTACAGTCCACAATCTAATTGACTTCTGTCATGGAACCATGGCTGAGCCAAAGCAATGCAGTTGTGATCCAGCACTGGGCCTAAGTGCAACTCTTCACAAGACATAAATATGCTTGCCTGGTTGAGTGTCCCACTCTTAAGAAGCCCTAGTGCCCTTCTCCTGAGCTTTGAGCTGGGTGGTGGGGAATCATCCCCATGCTTGCATTGCCCCTCTGAGGTGCTCCAAGCGCCCTTGAGGTACAATGCAACAAGGATAAGCCCAGCCCCATTGAGGATGGTGGATGGTTCCAGCAGTTATTCTATACTTTCAAAGCACTCTGAAGTCCTCAGAAAAACAGCACTACCTATGTGCTCAGGAGGAGACTTTTGTGGGTATTCTGTGTTGCTTTGTGCTTCTGTGCTTCTTACTAGGAATGCCTTGGAAGTGTAGAACAACCTCAAGAATGATCTCCTGGCACCTACTGTGAGCTTGGGAGGAGGGCTGGGGCTTTGCTTGCTGCACTGTACCTTGTTGGTCCTCAGTAGCTCAGCACAAACCCCAGCCATCTGTCTGAGATTGGAGCTGTGGGTGGAGGTGGTTTTGATCCTGGTCTCTAACTGTTCTTTGAAGGGGTCAGACACCTTCCGAACACAGTGTGATGCTTGGGGGCAAGGGGGGATGCAGTCACCACAGATCTGGGTTTTGCTGGAGAAGCCTGGCAAAATTGAATCCTGACACTCAATAGAAGGCTTTGCACAGGTATGTTTTGCTGCCAGGTACTTCATTTAACATCAGTGCATGGGACTGATATAATCTATATATCTAATAGCGAAGTTGCCCCCGGAGTGCGGATCGCTAAATCAGCGCTCCGGGGGAGGTTTGTGCACACGTGGGCCAGTCCCCACGTGTGCACAAAAATAAAAAAAGTTGAAAAAAAATTCGGGGGGATGTTTAAATCCCCCTGAAAGTGACAGAGCGTCCCCTGCGCTTCGCCGCCGCCTCGTCCTCGGAGCCGGCCGGCGGGCGTAGGACCGGCCTTGCCGCTGCCGCCTCCTCCTCCTCCTCGGAGCCGGCAGGCAGGGCGGGCAGG